TCTCGACAAGTTGAGGCGCCCCATCAGCTGATGTGAATGTCTCAAGCGCCGCCGGCTTCCTTGGAGCCGTCATTGACCCGGATTGGTTCATATCCGAGCAAATTGCTTCGGTCGCGGCCACCACTCCGCCGACCCTGGCCACAGATAACAGCCGTCTCGTTGCTTTACAGCTGGGCAACATCTATCTTCTCATGGCCATGGTCGGCTTGGCTGTCCTCAATTCCACCAGCGAGCTGAAGGTGGTGCGCAGTTATCTCGTCGCTCTGTGGATAGCCGATCTCGGCCACATCTACGTGTGCTATCATGTTCTGGGCCTGCAGAGATTCATCGACGTTGCAAGTTGGAATTCTATGACTTGGGGCAACGTGGGAGTGACGGTAAGACCCTGAATAGCCTCGGCCGGCGAACGTGCAGCGCTAACAAGTGTAGGCATTCCTGTGTCTGACCCGCTCGGCCTATCTCATGGGGTGGTTCGGGGCAGATGTAGAGGACACCAAGAGCTCATCAAAGAAGCGGGAATGAGATTCTCGCGCACTTTGGGCGTTCGCCGATATTCGAATGATCTGTAAGATGTCTCAGTCTCTACTGAGAGCTGGTCATCCGGGCCAATGTCCCCTACGGAGGCTACGTTACCCATCGATCCAGCTGATCCTCTGCCTTTTGTCTAATCCTGATACTCGCCTTTGTGAAACCTTGGGATAAGAATCAGAGATTACTCAGGTGGCGAGAATGGAGATTCCGGGCTGATTGCTTGCATTGACACAGGCTCTTTTCCAGTTCGCATAGTTCTACCACTTCCAATGGCTGTATATCTGGAAGCTGCGAGTGTATCAATCAGAATTCAAGCCAGGTACGCCGAGTGCTGTGTACCTGGGTAGTACCCTGAGGTGCCATCCAGAACCTACAAGGCATTTGCAGAAGGGACGAGGGTCAATTAGCCCAACTCCGTACCCCGCGCAAAGTGAAGTCGATCTTAGCTTTGAGTGCATCAATCCCGATTTTGAAAAGGAAATAAAGTCATGAAGTGTGATTCTATCCAATCAATCTTTATCAAGCTCAAAGCAACGTGCAAAGGTTGGGGGGCAGTGGTTCAACTTTAATGAATGCACCTCACAGCTCCCTCTGAATTAAAAGTGGATACCTAAGGCAGTTGCATCGTTCCTGGGCACCACCCCTCCATTGGACGGGCGTTCGTACGCGGGAGGCGCCTTACTCGCCAGGGTTAGGGTTAAGCGAATGAGAGTTTGTTTACACTACACCACCACCTCTCCACCCCCTCGAATGACGCGTTCTCTTCACGATCTTTCAAAAACGGGCCGCTGCTCATCATAAAATGGTGCTGACGAGGGCAAATCGCGGTGCCAGCGACCAGCCGGCCGAGTCTGGCCGGTCTGCACGCCTGGCGCGTCGCCGTGGGGGCTCCAACGATAACATGGAACGCGAGTTGCCGGCCAGGACCAGGGCCAAGGGCAAACAAGTCGCGGTGCCGTCGAGCGATCCGGGCGACGACGAAGAAGAAGACGAAGAGGAAGATGAAGGGGCAGGGTCAGAGGAGGAGGAAATCGCCAAGGGCGAATCGATTGCACGGTTCAATGCGCCGAGAGGAAACCTCGTCAAGTCCATCAGCCCGCCGCCTCAGAGCGAAAGTGGTGGGTCACATTCATAATCGAGCAAAACTCCTGGATGGACGCTGACGATAGAACAGACATTGCTTCAATCATTGGTTCTCAGAGCGTGTCTGGTGTCCAGAGATTCGCCAACCCTTACGGCGCAACAGCACAGTACACACGTCACTCAAGTGTGTTATCCCTGCAATCCGCACTCATCCTTCACAACGCAGTGCTCATGCAATCCAGGCGTACCTAGGCCATTCGGCTCGTCAGCGCCTCTATTCGGTCGCGGAGGTATTTCAATTATCTGCCCTTGTCATGTCACAATGCTCACCAGAAACCGCAGGTCTACCAGGAAGCCCGGTAAGGGAGGATGACGAGGAAGACGCGCCAGACGAAGGTCGCGGGACCCAAGGGAGCAACCACAACACCAGCCGCGACGAGACAGCGGAACTTCGAGAAAATGCCCTCGACCCCCTGTGGAGCACCACGAACGACCTCGCCAAGTACCTCCTCGAGCCAAAGCCGGACAAGAAGACCTGGAACCAGCTGCTTAAGATCCAGCGCCAGAATTGGGCCAGCATGCAAACTCTCTTCACCAACAGGGACAACGAGTTCCTCATCGACCTACCCGACGTCCTGTCCGCATTGCCCGAGAAGCTCCAGTCGCGCGGACGGGTCATCCTCGCCGCGACGAACGCGACTTCCCTCCAGAACGAGCTCATCAAGACCGTCCAGGGGACCGGCGACCTGCTCGACATCTGCGCCCGCGTCTTCGAACGGCTTGACCAGGACTTCCCCGCCCCCTTCCTCATCTCCATCCCCGACGATCCGTATGAGCTCATCACCAACGAAGTGATCGAGCTGACTCTCGACATCCGTGTCCAGAAGTTCATCGCCCAGCTGAGAGACCTCACGGATCACCCCGTCAGCCCCGCCAACATCGCATCCGACCTCTTCTGCGCGGTCGACGAAGGCGTGGACGGCGAGGAAGCGCTCCGTCACGGGCCATACCAGCCCGTTTGCGGCGGCGTCGAATCCCCCCTGGTATCGCAGCGTGCTAGAAGCATCGCGCAGCTTATCGAAGAGAAGACGGTTGTGGAGGCAATCCACATGCTGGAGGATGCGTTCCCCTTCATGACCGAGGACGATACCGGGCTCTCCATCGACCTGATGCAGTGGACCGCCGACATCATCGGACAGGCACAGGATTTCCTGCGGGAGCCGGCGATCGGGTCAACCATCAGATCCTCCTCTCCTTCCGAATCCCTCGCCTCATCCTCCCAGCAAGAATTTGTCCGCAAGGACGTGTATGTGCCTCCCTCCCTTCCATTGAGTATCCCACCAACTAACACTCAAAAGTCACGAGAACATCATGTCGAAAACAGTTGTCCAGCACTTGGCCATGCTCCGCCGCCAAGCTCCTCAATCCACCGCGTCAACGTCAGCCCCTCAACCTCCTCCGTCCCGCCAGCCACCCCCATCCAGCCCCGACGATCTATCCGCAGATGGAGACGACATCCTCGCCATAGCCCGGGGCAAGCCACCTCCCTCTTCCGCCGCCGCCGCCGGACCAAGCACCTCGGCCCCGCGCTCCAGCGGCTTCACCCCCGTCAACGGCACCAAACGCCCCTCGGAAACCCAAGACCCCGAAGACCCCTTCGAGAACGACACCCGCTCCCCAGACCCCTCCCGCAGAGCCCAGCTCGACCTCGACAGACAAAACATGCCCCCGCCAGCCTCCCGTCCCCAGAAACGCCAACGCCTCCCCTCACACCCGCAACCGCAACCCTCATCCTCCGCCTCCTCCTCCCGTCCAACCCCCTCCCCAAGCGCCAACCCAGCTCCCGCCCCGCCCTCCCCGAACGGAAGCACCAGCAGCAGCGCCCCTCCCCCGTCCTCCGCGGCCTCCACCTCCCTCCTCAGCGGCGAGATGTCCTTCTCCCAGATCCGCGAATCGAACCGCCTGCCGCCCTCCCGCGCCGCCGGCGCCCCGCAGCGCCAGCCCTGGTCCGACGCCGACACCCGCCGCCTCATACGCCTCATCGAGGTGCACGAGTGCAAATGGGCCGTCATCGCCCGGCGCCAGGACCCCGACTACCGCCGCGGCAGGCAGCCCGACCCCGGCCCCGAGGACACGGAGGACTGCGTCTTTGAGATCCGGCGCGACCAGCAGGCCATCCGCGACAAGGCGAGGAATCTAAAGGTCGACCTGCTCAAGTACGTTACTTCAGCCCCTCCCTTGCCTCACACTGTAGAAAGTAAAGCATACTAACACGGCAGAAACACAACAGGGCCGACTTCGCATTATACCCGGGCTTCAACGGCATCGCCCTCGGCAAAAAGGAGCGGGCCGCGCTCATTGCGCGCGGCAAGAACCCTGACCGGCGGGAGGAGGACACCACGCCTGACGGTGTGGTTCACAACACGACGTTTATTCCTGACGAGTAGCGTAGTCGGTAGCAAAAGTGCGCATGCATTGGTGAGTGGATCATGTCAGCAGGGCTGGAACAGTGTCAAAACTACCAAATTATGCATCATGTTTGTTTTTTCAGTCGCGTGTATTGATGGCGTTGAGGGTGACTGGTATTGGATCATCAGGCGCGTGTCACGCACAAACAATACATTTCATCACTTGTTCACGAGGCTGCCATATTGTGACAAATAAAAAATTCCGTGAATAGAAATCCGGTCCCTATCAAGACTGCCCTAAGAATATCGACCGACCTCTCTAGGGTGAACGCGGCCCATCACGTCTGTGTCTCGCCGTCCCGGTCATCGCAGGCATTTGCTCCATCTCCACACCAAAAAACCAATCTGACTGATTACAACCACCACCACCTTGGTTCAGTCTACTGCCCCTTCACCGGTCTTGAAAGTCGTAAAAGAAGCGAAGTCGAAAGAAAAGTTGGGTAGAAACTAGACATCATCGCACGCCTTTAGGGCGGCGGCGTAAAGGTATTTTTTCGGTGCCAAACGTACAAAAAACCGGATCTCGTTCCTCTATGTGGTGCAGCAACAAAAGCCCAAGAGATGACCGTTTCCCATACCAAAGACCAGAGAGCTAACAGGTAGCGCGCTTGTACGTTGATTTGGCTGAACGGAATCGCAGTGAAAGGAGTCGGTGGATATCGAGGTGGTGTCGTCATGTGAGTCCAGGGCTGGAATGCCGTCGTGATGCCATAGTTTCGGGGGCCTTCCAACCAGAGAAGTTCGTAAGAGTATGTGACAGAGGAAAGACAGGACAAAGGGGGTATGCTGCGCGGTGCTCTCAAATCTCAACAAGTGTAGAAAATATGTGGATCCAGCCATGAGCAGCTGGAAACTGAAGTAAAGGGTATCGGAAGTTGAAGTGGCGTAGCGGATTTTACGTTGCTCTTGTAAAGCAGTCTATCGTCGACGAGAGTTGGGGCTGTTCTTGAGTCGAGATGTACGCCAACCCTCGTACCATTGCTCCCTGCTGGCCTCACGGAGCTCGGCTCTCCATTCACTGAAGACGGCATCCTTGAGTCTCGTAAAGTCGCAGTGCTCCTCATTGTAGGGGTCCGCAAAGCCCCAGGGGAATTGACGCCCCATAACCTCGGGCTCGTATAAGTCGGGGCTGATGATGGAAAGAGGGAGAAAAGGAATCTCGTCCTCCTTCGAATCTTGCTTCGCCTTGTGCTGGCGGATAGACGATCCCGACAGTCGTTTTGATGAGGGAGAAGACGGCGCCTCGCCGTCACCGCCCTGGATCGGAAGGTCCTCGTCGCCGTTGTTGCTGTGCTCGTAGCCATCCTCGCCCTCGTCTTCCTCGTCAATCTTAGTAGAGTCGTCATCCTCATCCAGGCCGAGGGGTTCGAGGGGATCCATTCCAGCCTTCTTGATCGTGTCCCAGACCGTCTTCTTGAGGACATTCATGTGCTTGGTAGTGATGGTATCGGCCTTGGAAATGACGGGAATGACAGTCGTCTTGCCCTGGAGGGTGCGGAGGACTTGGAGGTCAAGGTCCTCATCCAGGCCACCGGTAATGTTCGCCGGCGGTGCGTACTTGCCGTTGTGGCCATTTGGCACAGTCTTCACAGCAGCAAGATTGCGGTCCAGACGAGCTGGGTCGAGAACCATGAAGACAGCATGAATGTGGGTATCCTGTACACCAGGCGATCGAATGACCTTCATCTCCTCGGTAAAAGTCTCTTCGAACTTGCTCTCCAGGAATGCTGACATCTCTCTAAGCTGAAGGTCAACCACATTCTTTTCGAGACCTTCCGAGTCCCAGATTGTCAGGCCAACACGTTCGCCGTCGATTTCACTCTCAAGGTAGTGGGGGATGTAATTGCCCGAAGCGGCAGCCCTGGGAGTCGAGTCTTCCTCGGTCTCGGTTCGACGGGATCGTTTCTTGGGCGGCAGCGCCAGAGCAGTCTTCAGGAACTCAAGGAATGAAGTCTTGCCAGCGCCGCGAGTGCCAATGACGAGAATGCTAGAAGAGAAGGTTAGCTTTCGGTGTCTTCAGATCGAGGGAGGATTGTCTCAGATCGGGTGAGGCTTACTTGAAGGGTGTGGGATCCTTTCTTCTCCGAACCCTCCTAGGGCTGTTGACAGTGCTGACGGCGCTGCTGGCGTAACTGTAGCGACCGCGGTGCGTCATACTCTCGGTACGAGCGTAAGGATCGTAGGCGGGGTTGCTCGTGGGCACAGGTGGTACGGGAGGAATATACCCTCCCGCGCTGAAGCCGGGATCCATCGAAGGACGAGTGGAATAGGCGGTGCCAATAGTATGGTCAGACATGATCGAGGCTTCGTCGGCACGAAGGTCTGAGGGGATGGAGTTGGAGAGCTGGTCATTGCCCTTGTAGAACTCGGGCAGCTTGGGTGGGATTTTGGAGATGGCAGCTTGACGCTGGCGTTCGAGTTCGCGTTCCTGCTGCTCCCTGAGGGCTTGGGCCTTCTTACCGCCCTTCCCCAGGTCGCCGGACTTGGAGCGTCTGAGAAGCATACCGAGACTACTGCGACGGGGCTGTTGGCTCATTGGTATCCGGGGTGCTCAGCATAAAATATTTGTTTCAGCGTCGGGAGCCGCAAACGGAGTGGGCGACTGGCATGCGACTAACACAACCAGCAGCACTTTCTGTCGCGCTTGATCGTTCGATTGCGTGAAGGCGGCAAATGTGGACCGCTCGTACCAACGGGCGTTGAAAAGCGCCGAACTTCGAGTCGTGTGATTTGGTAAATAGCAATATGTCGCCGAGGAGAAAATCCAGGTCGACGTCAGTCACCAAACCCGTGGTTTGGTTTCGTTGGGGGTTTGTAGGTGAAAGGGGAAAGCAATCGGGGCTCCCCTGGAAAGGGTGGAAAGGGGTCAATGACCGAAGAGAATGGGACGATGTGTGGGAAAAGAGCTGATGAAATCAGGTTAGCTACCAATACCCGGATAGAAGGCAATTGCTTGACGCCCAAACACTGCGAACGCTCTTCCTCGACCAACCGCAGACAGCAGCGCAGCGGGAACAGCAGCAGCGTGTCGAGTCGAGCAAGTGTCTCGCCGGGCGGCGCCTGCGAAAAGGTGACAGGGAAATGGCAGCCGGCAGGAGTTTGGGAGACAGCGCGAAAGCAATGCCTCTGCCAATGCTCTGCTCTGGTCGGGTCAGGTCAGACCAGAGACAGAAACAGAGACACAGGCGGGAACCAATGCCCGGGCCGGCTCCGAGAAGGAATTCTGGGGACGTATGCGTTCCCCAGTGGTGGTCCTGCCGTGGTTGGCCGCGATTGACGGCAGAGGTCGAGGCAGGAGATCTGCCGCCTGCAGAGGGGTCGCGGGACGCAGGTCGCAAGTCTCAAGGAGGGGCGGACAAGCAGCGAGTAGGGGCAGGAAGCGGGAGCTGATGACGATGGGATGGGATTGGCGCCGTTATAAGGACTTACCAGTAGGATGCCGAGCTTCAAAGCTGGAGCTTAGGCAGTTTGAAAGCAAATGGTGCTATTCTCGTGGAATTGGCGGCGGCAGAAGAAGCAAGCGTCGGCTCCTGCGATTAAGATGGATGTGCAATGCTGCAATGGCAATGGCGGGGAGCGCGGTGCGGTGCAGATCAGAGACAGACGACTGGCCAAACGTCGGACGGATGGTCGAACGGAGCGAGGGTTTCCAGTCGCGCGGCGATGGCAGGAGATCGGACGAAGAGGCGTGGCCGCGCGTGGAGAGGATGGTCGGAGTCCGTGACCCGCGTGTGTGAGTCTGGTCTGCGGTCTACTGAGCAGACAGACAGGACGAATGGAACGAGGGGGCCGCAGGATTCTGAGACCTGGCCGAGAGCTTCCAATTCCAAAAGACCAAAAAAAGTGTCGAGAGTGAGAGGGATCCGTGGAGGGGATGAGGCGTAATTAAGAGATGGGAATTGCGAAGAACGTGGACCCGGCGGGACGAGACGAGAAGCAGGCGAGGCGGGTCGAATGCAGCTGGTGAGGTCGTGGTATCCGTACGTAGGGTGAAGGCAGGCCAGGTACCAAGGTAAGGTAAGGTACGTATGGGTAGGTATGGACCTTACGTATGGATGAGGTGGGCACACAAGTGCAAGCGTTAGCGAGAGTTAAGGCAGGTTGGTAGCGTGTTGGTAGGCCCGGTTCGAGAGTACCTAGGGCAAGCCAGTCCAGTCCAGTGCAGGTACAGGTACAGGTGTGCAGGGAGTAAAGGTTGGCGTGGGTTGTGAAATGTGAAGAGCGAGCGAGCAGCCTGGAGCAAGAATGGCGTCGAGAAGAGCAAGCAGGCGCAGTGTCTAAAGTGAATGAGTGAGTGAGGGTGAGGGTGAGGGTGAGGGCGGGATGGCCAGTGCAGATGCGCGCAGATGGAGAATTGGGGGGGGTGTTCGAGGAGACGGGAGACTGAGAGAGCAAGTGGAGGGACCCGCGACGAGACGAGTGTAATTATGCCAGTGGAGGAGCAGGTGCGATGGATGGGGACAGGATGAGGTCAGTGCAGGGCGCTGCGCGATGCGATTGCAGACCAATGAAATTGCCGACTTGGGTTTGCGCCGACAGCAGCAGCAATGCGATGCTTCCCGCTCTGTTTATGAGAGATGTCAAGGTGTGCACTGAGTTGGAACAGGTGTAAAGTGAATCAAGGCAACAGGCGCAAAAAGAGCAACAGGAGCAAGAAAGACGACACAAGCAGAGTCAGGCAGACAGAGAGAGAACCACCGCGAGTGCGACGCAACAGACGAGAACAGGACCTGCCCGTTCCCAGAAGACGAAGCTCCTGCTCCATCCAGCATGTCAGGCGTCCCCCATCGTCCCTCCTCTTCACCTTCACCCCATGCTGGATCCAATGTCCCGTCCAATTTGAGAATCGAGAGGGGCTTCGCCGATGGACGATGGACACTGGACAGCACCAACCGGCCAAGCAGGGTACGCACTGAAGTCCTGCCATTCTTGTCATGTGATTGGTTGGGCGACGGGTAGCGCATCACCCTGCAGCCAGAAATTCCCCCGACGCAGGTACAGACGGGGCCGCGCTAGGCTGGGTTGGGGCCCAGGTACCGTCTCCGGCTCCAGCGAGAGACGACATAGAAGAGACGACGACCTCGCCAGAGACCAGGCCAGGGCTCCTCACTCTCCCATCACTCGCATCTCTCTCTCGCTCCGCATGGCCTGTAACGCAGTCGTAACTCCAGCAGCTCGCTAGCCCAGGGCCCCCAGAGACATTCTCCAACCAGGCGCACTAATGGGCAGCTAATAACGCCATTGGGGCCGCCCGACGCAGCCTAAGCACTGAGATGATGGAGGTCCCCCGGGCCCTAGAAACACCGTTTGAACTGTCTGGTTGGTTTCTTATCTAGCTGCTGCTTCTGCCCTGGTGGCTGCTGCTAGCTATCGATCAGGCAAGTAAGTGCCCAGACTCTAATACCAACGGCTTGCGTATCTCCTTAGCGACTGGAACATGGGGGTTTTAGATCCCACGTGTAGTAGCCAGTCAGACTATGCCCTTAGTGCCCACAGTATATTCGAAAAAGACGCTTGTGGCGTGCGTTTAGCTAGCGAGGAGTCTAATTAGAGGTAATAGATATAAATATAAGTTATACTAAATGTGGTATATTAGCTAATATTACTAATACTATCTACTGTAATACCCCTACTAGCACCTCTTATAGAGGGCTATACTATAATCTAAATACTAGAAATCTATTTTATAATCCTTAGAGATATTAGTAGTAGTCTCACTAAGAACCTTCTTCTGAAACTTAGATAAGCACTATATATAAAGCCTCTTCTTTAGTAATACTAAGAAAGTATAATTTATATAAGTAGATAGCTATTTTAGTATAGCTAAAAAAAACTATATAATAATAGCCTCCTCGCTATACTTTATAATAATCTCTTTATAGAGGTATTACTAGAACTTACTTTAGGTCTAATAAGTATTCTATATATCTCTAGATATATTAGAAGTATTATAAAAAGCTTCTCAGAACACTAAGTAGGCGTTTATTATACTAATAGGTAAGATAAAGTTAAAGTTAAATACTTAGGCCCCTCTATAATATATATAATATCTATAGGTATATATTACTTAGTGCTAATTACTAATATTAATAGCGTTTATATATTAGTTATATTTATAGTAGATAAGAAGGAAGGGTAGTAGCTTTATATAGGTAATCTCTACCTCTCCTATAGTAGGATTAACTACTTTAAAAGGTACTTATAATATTCTGAAATAGGTTATATTACTTACTAGCTGCTTATATAGCTTAAGCTAAGTATACTCTCTACTGTGGAAGCTAGTAGTTACTATTAAAATAGGGGAGCTATCCTTAAATAGAAGCTAGTTAACTATACTATTATCTATAGGTATAGTAAAGATAGTGCTTTATAATATCTTTTTAGTGTTATTATTATAGCTTTTAATATTATAGAGGATTTTAGTAACCTTACTATTAGGTTAGTAGGTATCTATAATAATAACTTCACATTAATAGAGATATTAAAGTAAGTTAATTAATATAAATAAGTTATTAATAAATAGGTAGTATTATTAATAACTATTTAGTAGTAGTACTTAGAGAATAAGCTATACTATAAGGGCTTTAGTATCTAATAGAGGTCTCTTAATATTTTTATTATATTAAAGAAGAGTAATAAGTAGTCTATAATTTATATATTAAGCTTAGCGTAAAAAATACCTAGCTTTACTAATAACTTATACTTTAAAGCTAATAGGTATAAGCTTACTAGATATATATTACTTATTAGAGTAGTAGCTTTAGTAACACATTATACTCTTATTAATAGTAAAGGTACTACTAGGGGTCTAGAAGCATATTAATACTTCTTAGAGGTAGTTACTTTAGTTAGTAACCCTCTTATAGATAGTAAGGCAGCCTTTCTCAGCCTCAAAATTAGGGTTATAAGTAGTAAAGTTATAGTAAAGCTATTTAAAGTAGTTATAAGAGATCTAATAATTAATCTTATAGTTAGGTAAGTACTTACCTTTAGCTTAGTAGTTATTAAGGTGTAGTTTGCAGTAGATAGTTATATATATTAATATATTAAGAAATATATATATCTCAGCCTTATAGGTCTACTATAGTGACTTAAGGCTTTAAGCAGAGTTATATATAGTATTACTAGCTTCTAAAGCCTTAAAGCAGTATATCTCTAACTTATAGTTAGTCTATACTACCTACTTAGCAACTTTAGCAAGAGGCATAAACTCTTCCTAGATCTTAAGAGGGGTTTTACTATAGTTAATATTAATCTTATATTACTAACGCTCTAAAGTTATTTTATAGAAAAGTAGGCTAGCTACTAGAGGAGGGTTACTATAGCAGTCTCCTCAAGGAGGGTTAAGGTTATTAAGATGCCTATAAACCTTACTATTATAGTAGCTATATTAAATAATAAGCGCTAGGTTACTAAGAGAGTGCTACTTAGCCTCCTAGTTAATACTACTGTTAATACTAGCCTTAAGGATTATTAATAATATCCCTAAAGCTAGAAGAGGTTATAGAAGGTTATTAATAAAGCTAATACTAATAG